AAACATTCTTCTCATATATATATATATATAAGTTTAATTTTATTGCTTTTATCATTTTTGTAGGTTAAGGTTTCTGTAATCTATTTTAAATTGAGTAGTAATTTTTCTTAGGTATATTAAATATAAGATTTTTAAAATCGGGAGATTAATATCACTTATCTATAATCGTCCGCCTATTGGTCTAGAGAATATTAATGACATACCATCATTCTATGCATTAAAGTTTCCTAGATTTGTATGATATTTATATGTGAGTACCATCATTATTATTAACACTTACATACATACCACCAAATTCCTATTTATTGGCATTGATAACACCAAACTTTATTTTTAACATTTATATCACATATGCTTTTGATGACATAAAAAATATCACTATTTTAACTTTTTAAAGATGAATTAGATTTTTAAATGTATGGACAAGGTAGCATAAATGTAAAAATTGAAATTTAGATCTTAAAAATGTAAATAAATAAGAATTGAGCCTATGTATGTAAATATTCCCATTTTGAAATGATGAACCATAAATCATAATTATCTAACTCGAAGTAATGATTTGAAAAAAAAAGGTATGACTCATATATCACATAAGAGACATGTGCTGGTGCGGAGCGGAACTCGCGATCGGATAATTTTGTAATTATATATTGTATATTAAGGTTATATATATATATATATAGAGAGAGAGAGAGAGAGAGAGAGCAACTATTTCTGTATAATCAGTAAGTCGTGGAACAAGAATTTGCAATGAAAGGGAGCAAAAAAATTTAGGGAAATTTACTTGCCATACCACACAGTTCTTACGTATTGATTTGTCTAATAACTAAAATTTGGTATCTACATTTATAATGTATCATAAACCTAAGCATAAAAAAAAGAAGTTTACTTTTTAAAAGTTAGTAATAATTGCACTTTTTTGAGCGATGTTAGATATTTGAGTTGTATGCATGTAAATATCAAAGTTCAGGTGTGGATATGTAAATATATAAGAAGTGTGTTGTATGTATGTAAATGTCCCAAAGTTTTATCCCAAAGTTAGCTGCATAGCTTATATATAAACACATACATACGTTGTATTTATAACCCTAAGGGGCATGTACTCTTTTTAGTGAACTCAAAAAAGCTGCCGCAGCTATTCACTCCCGAGGACGTAGGCATCTTGTTAAACCTCGTTAATTCCCTATGTTTGATATTGATTGTTCGATTCTTGATTCTTGCATTTCTTTGTCATAATTTCTCAACAATATTAAAGCCATTGGTTAATAAAGAATGTTTTTTTTCTCCAATGATTTAAATCATATATTGAGATATTTTGAAACTTATGCCCAAAAAGAAAAAGTAAGTGTATACCAAATTAGTCATACTTATTTGAGAAGAAAGATTTATACATAAGTAAGACTAAAGAGCAATAGACCTTCGGGACCATAGAGGCCTATGAAGAAGGTAAAACCAATCTGTCGAAGCAGTTGAAACTATCCCACATACTGAAGTGTCCTAACTGAGCCCACCAACCAAAGAGATTTGACTAGCTGAGGGCAAATTAATTTTTGAAGAAAATCGTCATAAAATAACGATATGTGTTCATCTTTATTTATGTTGTTGTTTGACACCAATATTAATATTTTCATCAAAACATCATAGACAGGCGCAGTATCTTATTGGATATAATTTTTTTATCCAACTTCCTCTCATGCATGAGGGGGATAAGAATGCTTCCTAGAAATTACTTTTTCTAGGTCATATTCGGGGGGATTCATGGAAGAGAACAATAACATGAACTTCAGCAATATATCCATCAACCCTTTCTTTACCGTCCTCCTAAATTAGGATATCTCTCAAATTATATGAACTCATGAATAATATGAGAATCAACTCCCTACCAATTCCAAGGAGTATTATATTTTGATACTCAAGGTATTTAAGAAAAATATCTCTACCTCAATATAATATTTATATGAAGATAATATTAAAAATATATAAATTATTGAGTCTCTTGATATGTTGAGCTATGAACTGGAAACGCTAGTTGGGGGGGAAAAAACACTGCAGGTTAGGCAAGGTCTTCCATTAGAAAGCAGAAATTACGCAGTCGGCAGATACTTAGTTTTTTTTTTAATCACAGCAGAACCCATAAACAATCTAAAGAACTCCTCCCCACGATCTTTGCCACCCCCTCTTCATTCTCCTCTCATTCCTTTCTTTATTCCTCACAAACATTCTTCTCATTCCATTTTCTCCCAAATAAAAAAGACTTCCCATTTTTCTTCTTCTGTTAATCCTTAACCACCCCGCTCCTCTTAATCATCCGTTAATCATGAAGTAATTTCATGTTTAAAATAATATAAAGGATAAGTCTACTAAATACAATGTTTAAATCACATCGCCGCACGGATTCAGCTCACCTCTGAGTTGTATCATCTCCGTGGACTTGCAAAAAGCTAATGATCAGTTAATATATTATTTGCCTTATGGCTAACTGTGGTCAATTTCTACTTGCAAAAACATTCTTCTCCGCAATTAATTTTGCTTCCTTCTATATATTCCTCAATCTCTCTCTGTATATATATATAAATAAGTTGTTCTCAGAGTCTTCAACAGTAGTGTTCAGGCTCAACTAGTTTCAGAGACGACGATCACATCAAATGGAGAGCTTTGGAGTTGTTCCTGAGATCTGCTGGAACTCGTTCGAGGAACAAATGCAGTTTGATCATGAAACAAACGCTATGGCGCAGTTGCTCGAGAGCCAAATCTATGGCTATGATCATCAGATTCGAGAGCAGCAGAGCTCGGGTCTCATGTCAATGCTCTGGCCTTATAATGAAGCCGGTGCATTTTGTTACTTGAGCGATCCAAATACAAATTATGAGGGAATAAACTACCATTGCGCCATGGAAGATGAGCAATTAGCTGCTCCTTTCTTTCAGATTGATTCTGTGAACCCAGTTGAAGGGTTGGTTAGCTCGCAAGAGGTGAACAGTGATGAATCCACAGAATGTAATGTTGTTACAGAGTTGGAGTTGCAGCAGAACTGGAGAATGATTCAAGCAGAGGAATGCAAGGTTGTCGTGGTTCCAGCTGAGAGACAGAACAAGAAGGCTCGGGTAAGTGTAAGAAAATATTGCAAAAAGCATGCTTGAGTAAGATAATTTGTTCAAGAGATGAAATTAATGTGTTTGGTTTCATTTCAGGCACAGAAAGCTTTGAAGAATTCGAGGTCAAAGAAGAAGCAGAAGGGGAGTGGAGGTGGAAGCGATGAGGAAGAGAGTAATGCGGGCTTGAATGTGCAGAGTACAAGCAGCTACAGCTCAGATGACGATTACATGAACAATTCTCAAGAGATTACTGAAGGAGGGAGTGTAAACTCCAGCTCTAAAGGATCTACAGCCTTGAATCTTAATGGGAAAACAAGAGCTGGAAGGGGAGCTGCTACAGATCCACAAAGCCTCTATGCAAGGGTTAGTACTATTCAATTCACTCAAAATAATTATAAAAAACTTCCATTAGAGCCAGTAATGTTAATGCCATGAAGGTGCATGTTTTCTTATTACAGAAGAGAAGAGAGAGGATCAATGAAAGACTCAGAATATTGCAGAACTTAGTGCCAAATGGAACAAAAGTAAGCATTCGAACATGAAACATGCAACAGTTTTTGTCTAAGAAAAATGCAATTTGAATTATTTGACTGAAGAGTTTTCATGACAGGTTGACATCAGCACAATGTTAGAAGAGGCAGTACAATACGTGAAGTTCTTGCAGCTCCAAATTAAGGTAGGTGTCATCAGAAAGATAAACTTCATAATATTCAGAGTTTATTTGAGATATTATTTTTACATATATGGAATATAATTTATTTATTTTTATTTTATGTGCAGCTTCTGAGTTCTGATGAGCTGTGGATGTATGCTCCGCTTGCTTATAATGGCATGAACATTGGGCTTGATTTGATGATTCCTACAAACAAGTTGTAACAGTGAAGCAACTGAAGTGAAGATAGAGTTATATATGATTTAATTACTCTTATATTCTTTTACTCCTACAAAAAAAAAGCCATTGTTGGCCTCTGATTGGTTTATATATATATTTTTTTAAAATGATTAGATATTATATATGAAGACTAAGTTTAATGATGTGATTAGAGAGTTCCCAATGACTTGAGCACTTACTAAACACATGAATGAACAGAGAATATGCATTGGATGTGGCCCATTGTGGAATGAATTAATTAATTAAGATGGTTGCAAAAATATCTCGAGGCCGGAGTAAAATTTTCTTATAAAATACTGATGCCCTCTTTGATTAATTTTGGTGAAGTCATATATAATTGTAATCTAACATCGATATTAGCATAATTTATTCATATAAAAAGGAATTCTATGGCAGAACCCGCACCAAATCGTAAGATTTGAAGAACCTTGGGAGATATGAACAGCTTCAAATTTCAAAGATATATAAACCGCATTGCAAAACTAAATTTTTTTCATAAAAGGATGCTTTTATTATCAATTATTTGTTTGTTAAATATAAGTTTTATTTTATTTTTTATTTTTTTGGTATAAGAGCATAAAAAAGATATTTCACCTCATTTTAAACTATGTTTTCTAACTGAGAACAAACGTGCCCTTAATAGTAATGTCTGTCATTAGCATGCATTTAGCATTTCTATTAAAAATAAATGAAATCTGTCATAGATTTTCGTCCTAAAATGCAAAAAGGAACTTTTTTTTTCTAAGTGGTAGATAAATCACTATTGATTGAATTTTAGAATAAGTTTATTGCAAGCCGGGTTGAATAAATCCCTCTTGCATTTAGACATATGTAAAGTCAGAATATGTCTGTGAATCTCACTCAAAGAATAGAGCATAAAATATAAGATGAAAAGAGAGAGAGAGAGAGAGAGAGATGCACAAGGAATGACCGGTACTTTGTAGCAATATGGATGTCAATTTGGGTCTGTGGGTAGGGTTTGGGTCCAACTCAAAAATGATCAGACTCAAATAAGGTCAACACGAATCCGATTCAAATAATAAACAGGTCGAAAATGAAGACCCAAACCCAACCTGAAATTGAAGCTTGACACTTTAACCAAAACTAAGCCGAAATTTCGTGTTTATTCGGGTCATGTTTGGATTTTCGGGTTAAACCCAAACTTGACCCGAATAATAAATGGGTTGAATTCTCATACATAAACCCAACTCGAAAAATAATCGGGTCTACCCTAACCTGAATTTTGTCCTGATTATTTTTCGAGTCGAGTTTGATTAATGTTGGCGTGTCGGGTTAATTTTTTTACACCCATATGTAGCAAATGTGTAACTCTTTTATTCATAAAATAACCTCTTATTTGTAGAAAAAGGGATACAATATGTGAAGTTTTGTTTGTCTCTACTTTAGTATGGGTTGTATAGATTATTATAGGTATTTTACATATGTGGGCCGGGTTGTTTTCTGGTTCAACTAGCTTGTTTGAGGAGACCTTGGTGGGTGTTGCCGGTTACTAGGTTTTGTAGATGCGCTGCCATTAGGCTAGGCTAATGAGGCCTTGATAGGTTTTGACGGTCGGCTAGGCTTAGTAGATGTTGTTGGTTGACTGCTCTTTTCTGGCAATGGATCGGCAAGATTGATCTAGCCGGCTAAGTTTAATCGATCGGTTAGTCGAGTCGACCATTGATCCTCAATCTCTAATGAGGAACTTATTTCGACAGAGCGAAGTTAAGTTATCAAGCAAAGAGTAAATCACTGTAATCCTTTAGATAGGCGTTTGTAGACAAAGAGATCCTAATGGATGGCTAAGACTTGTTGTCCTATTGATTTTGATGATATTTAAGGGGACTTTTAGATGTCTCTAGTATAATTGCAAAACCTGTGGGGTCAGCTCTTCCCTTCGGTTGGTTTTATCGTGGTGAATGATTCGGATTTTCATGTACCTTGTGTCTGGTCCAACCGCTCTGGTTCAAGAGTTTGGTTGCCTTAGTTGGTCATGACCTTGTTATGTCCAATCGAACAACTAGGCCTCCGAGTCTTCTGCCGGTAGGCCCTCTTTGTCACTTGTTATGCCATTTTCCCACTTGGACGATCATCTCTCCCCAAGATTCGTGCTGGCACTTTTATAGTGTACAACATACTACATAATGCTGATGGGATAAGATTAAACATAAATACAGTGTATTTAAAGGACAAATTTTTGCAGAAAACAATCAGACTAATTTCCTTGCGGCTGCTCAGCTAGTTATTCTTCAGTTAAAAAAATAAAAGAAGATTATTATTATCATATCAAAAATTTAAAAATAATATCATCATATATTCTATACTACTAAAAAGGGTGCAATATATGAGAAAAAGATGGTGGGCCAACATCAGATATACTAGCTAAAAACTGTTCCAGACTTGAAGGGAAAAATGTACACGGGCGTGCATTGTTTATTAAAAACAGAAAAAAAAATGAATTGTATTGAATCAAACAATTCAATTTCTTGTTTTAAGAAAATTTTATATTTGATTTTCAATTTTCAGATCTATTTTAATATTAATTAAATTAAATAAATGAAGTTAAAAACCAAATAATGCTAGGATTAAAAAATTAAATTCATTTATATGATATATTTATTTTAATTTAATTTTAAAGATACTGCGATTAGAAAAAAAAAAAGGGAAACTTTTAAGTTTGAAACAAAATTTTAAATTTTAATTTGCTCCAAAATTAACAAAAACGTAGTTGATTTGATTATTCAGATTTCAAAAATCAATCTCATTCAATTACTAATCTATAAAAAGATTCATCCAAATTAACCGTTTATGCACCCCTAAAAATAAAGAACATTTAAGAATTACACTTCTCATCAGCCCCTCAAATTAATATATATTCAATATCATCTCTGATTATACATCATAAAAAGATTCAATTTTGCCTCATAATCTCTCTATATATTTTGAGCTCTTTCTATTTTCAAAATACCACTATAATCACGTAACAGTGTTGGAACATAAGTAGTGCTAAATATTACTCTTAATTGATAAAATTAATCTTATTATAAATAAAATCAACTTTATTAATTGGTTTGGGCATATTAAAAGTAAGGCCATTATAAGTAACATCCTTTTTTTTTTTTTCATTCATTAAAGAATGACCAGAGGCTATTATAGGAGCCTCCAGCCACTCCTAATGTGCCTAACAATTCGAGTACCAACCCCTTAAGACTAATTGTGTGAGAAGGGATTCGAACCCTCAACTAGAGGAGAAAATTTTACATCCAGACAACGGTCTGGATGCAGCCAGGAGGGCGGAGGTCTAATTCCTCTCCGCTGCATCCGGGCCGTTGTCTGAATATCCGGAGTCGAGATGTAAAATTTTTTTTCAACTTGAGGGGTCTTATACCGTGGATGCCAACTAACAGGCCGGGGTAAGCGTTACATAAATAACATCCTTTTAGTTATATAAACATACATTAGATACTAGTAAAATTGATTATTACCACATGCACCTCATCAAAATGAGTGAATTGACAAATAAATAAAGAGATGAAAAACATGGCTAAACAAATTTATAATATTCATAGAACTGTACACATCTGGAAGAAATCCTGTTCATTTAGCAAATAACATCTGCAACTCTAATCGGCGCTTAAACAAAACAGCAACAACAGAGAAACGGGGGATGACAAAGCAAGGAATCAAGAAAGACTTCAAAGAAGCCACCAAACCACATAACCATAAGAAGGCCAGCTTAGAACAGCAATCTGTACTTTTACTCACTCCTCATCAACAGACATAATGGCACCTTTCCTTATCTGCAAAACAAAGAAAATAGAAAATAAACAAAAATAAAATAGGAGATTTTCAATATTAGCTCAGCTTTCCAAAGAGTTTGCCACCAGAAAATTTATATGATAAACTGAGAAAATTTGTTAGCATTCTTTAATTGGACATGATTAGAAATCAGCAGTGTTTGTAAACATCATAAGCGCTTTTAAATATAGGTTTATTGTATTTTCACCTAAAATGGGTTCTTGTAGTCATTAGTGAAAACAGGAATCTCTATCCATAATGCTGCTATATTCAACTGAAGCCAATTACATACCTAGCTCTCAATATTGGAATTTACAAAACTAACCAATTTCATCAGTTTTTCATATTCTCACCTAAATATTGAAATTCACACCGACACCCCAACTTGTATTTTTCACTTCTATCAAATTATCAATAGTTTGATTGTGACCTGCATAAATGCATGGGTTTGATTGTTCACTCTCTCTCTCTCTCTCTCTCTCTCTCTCTCTCTCTCTCTCTCTCTCTCTATATATATATATATATATATATATCTATATATATATAATGTAAATGCATATTTAACCGAGTGTTATGAAGATAAAGACAATTAAATTTATGAGAAATTTACATACATGCCACACAATTCTTATATATTTATGTAACTATTACCCAAAATTCAAAATTTACAATTAACACCTTGGTATCATAAACTCTGTATTTCGCCTTAAAAAGATAATAAAGGTGATATTTTGGTTGTGGCGTGCGTACATACATGGGCTTGATTGTTCAATCTCTCTCTCTCTCTATATATCTTTCATAATGATAATTTAAGAGGTGTCATGAAAACAAGGACCATTAAATTTATGGGAATTTTACATAAATGCCACACAATTCTTATATATTTATGTATCTAACACCCAAAATTTATTACTTACAATTAACACCTTGGTATCATAAACATTGCATTTCGCTCTTAAACAGATAGTGAAGGTGATATTATTGATATGATGTGCTAAGGACTTAAATGCTATGCAAGTAAATATGAATGTTTAGGCATTGGATATATAAATACATAATTGTGTTGTATGAATGTAAAAGCTCGTAGATTCATTTTTTTCACAAGTGACCAACCCTCAAGTTGGGCCAGGTAATCTCAAGTTAATTTGCTCAGGAAGTATTAGTACCAAACATCAAACACAAGCAGACAACTAATAGGCACAAATATTGTGGTACTCCAACGAATTAAAAAAAAACATAGTTAAGATTAGTGTAAAATGACCATAAATCATTACTACCTGAAAAGAAAATTATAGAACTTGTTTCCCACACAACTCAACGATAGTCACCTCAAACTTCAAAACTCCCGTATAAACATCAAAATACAAAGTACCGAGAACCAATAGAACTAAAGCATTGCTACTATGTTTTAAACCAAACCTAATAAAAATATGTTGCAAATATATCACGAGAGAACATCTGAAAGTGACATACCTGCCCCATCCGGCGATCCTTATTCAGCACTACAGTTCTTTCCCTGTCTCCAGAAGATCTAAAAATCCTCTGCAGTTATTAAAAAAAAAAGAGCCAATTCAATGAAAAATTGCCATATTTCATGGACGGATATCTTAACTATCAAAATACTGATGAACAAATTAAAAAAATAATTCTGGCTTTGAATAATTATGTAATAACTAAGAGCGACCAAAACAAACCTTTTGTGAAGCTGATAAACCATTTTCAGCATCTGGCTTAAGATCAAATACATCATGCAGGAAATCATTGTCCTGCATCAACATCAGGCCACAAAATTATAAACAATTTAGTAATGTTTCAATGTAGTGATACATTTAGATGAATAAATAAATAGTTGTAACAAGAACCTGTGCATGTTTTAGGAATCCACTTCCAAGAAAATGCTTTAAAAAGTTCAACTGTCAAGGAAAGATGAACCAAATCATAAAAAATTTAAATAATAATTCAAATGTTACAACAGAGTGTTAACAATTAAGTTCACAAAAGTAGATTCGAAATAGGAAGGATAAAATGTAAAATTATTATAATAACGAGCATAGAGCTGGCAATTATGATCGAAACACGAGACAAACTCGAGTGTTGAGTGAATTCAGCATCAGTTTGATAAATTTTAAATCAGTTTATTAAGCAATATCTCAACTGGAGGCTTTTACAGCCTAAAATGGCACTCTTGTAATCTGATTGTAGCCTGCTGAGTTTTCATACACTATTATGAAAAATTACAGCATTACGCATATTGGTGTTTTCAGCGGGTGGCCAAATTTAGATCACACTTGGAGGAGAAGTTCAAACATTTCCTCCCATAGCCATACGTCTGTTCTGGTTTTTAGTTTACAGATTAATTCCAGCCAACACAAATAATCACTCTTTGCGTCAAGACTGTTGAGCCATCTTTTTGTCAATACTAAACATGTGGTTAAAACTTCAATTGAGCTTAAGACCCTACAAATCATATTATATGCATATTATTTTGAATTGTACCTCTATTATTATGTGTTACTCTAATGTATGTATGATCCTGCTTATATTATAATTTATTGTTTGGATATTAACATGTTAAACTTATTTTGAGCAATTTATCATTTTTGCCATATTAAATTGTTAATATATTGCATTTTACAATATTAATAGGTTAGAATGTTAATGTATCATTTTTTACGACAAACTTCGAATTTACTACCATACGTTTTGCTCTATGCAATTTGTTGATTTTGAGATTTACGCATTAAAATGCCTCGATGCTAAGCCACACAAAAAAAATGCCTAAATACATAATTGCGCAAGTTTAAATTTTGCATCCAACTAAAAGAAATAGCACCAATACAACAACAAAACTGAAAAGAAAAAGAAAAAACAAGGTTAATGCTAGTCTAAAAAGAAGCTGTGATTTAGTAGTATCTGCAGTAAATCCTTGTTTGTATAGGAAGAAAGACCAAAAAAGGGGCTACTTTGACCAATTTCACCAAAAAGAAAGAAAAAAGACGAAGTTCCAAACCTGAATTAATTCAGTCCAAGTTGAAGTTGTCAGCACTCCTTGCTTTTTCGATAGTTTCAAGGATGTCATCGGCTGATCTCCTTCCTATAACGCAGATTCAATTTAAAATTGCAAAAATAAGCTTGGTTTTTATAAAACAAGAAGTCAACAATATAACACATCAATATATATGTATATATATATGAAAATTGAAAATATGCCTTAAGATAATCATAAATCTTCTGAAAGGTGTCCCTTTGCATGTTCAGACATTTCTTATCAATTCCCTTCCCCCCTGCCTCCATCGAAAGGTTTGAAACCAGCAACATTATTTTTTCTTTCAATGACAACAAATAAATGAACCACTTAGGTTTTCCACGAATGTCCTCTGTACTCCCGAGGTCACTAGTGAGACTAGATAATTTTCCAGCCACAACAATCTCAAAGATGACAGCTATCGTTTCCCCAGCAGCAATTCGGACAGCGCGTTCACCATTTTCTAAAAGGTTACAAAGGAATGAAATCATCCTGCAGTTCCGTGTAAAACATATCAGCAACCTAGGACAAGATAAGTGAATAAAAAAAATTAAAAATAGCAAAAGATTGTGCAAACTCGACTCACTCAGTCCACATGTCGAGATCAATTCTCCAGCCATGTAAGGTTGTTAGAAGAAATGACCATGCAGATAGCGCCCCTACTAATACAGCTGAGCTGGGTTTAATGATAGTTCCAGCCTAAAGGACGAATGAAACAGAGAACAAAACAATAAAATTATCTGAGACATGCAAAGAAGCACACAAGAAAATACACAATCGAAGATGTTAAAATTGGCTATGATTTTAGAACTTCACATAACTTGAACTTGAAAATTGTTAAGATGAAATCAGCACCAGATTACCTTAGATAACGACTTCGGATGAATGATTTCCCACATAATTTTCATAACTGTCTCAGTTTCCTCCCAATTATTTGAACCAACAAATGTGATAATTGCTAAACAATCCAGGACCTGGGGACATAAATCAAAATAAATAAATAAATAACCAAGACAACAGTAAACCATAACAAGTGTAGCAAAAGCTAGTAATTTAAGGACTTACAGAGATCCTGACTGCATCAGGCCCTGATATGAGGGCACGTGAAAGAGACGGCATTGAATCCTCCATTATTTCATGTGTATTATCTCCATTCCCAGCGGTGATGGAAAGGAAACCTTAGGAAATGGAAAAATCAGTTAGAAAAAGATTTATGGCTGTTACTTTTAAAGTATGATGACGGCGTACCAATGGCACGAGCAGCCAAGCAGACCTCTGTTGCTGAACCTCTTTTAATAGAATTAAGATATTGATGTAATAAGGTGATGCACCTGCGGCACAAAAAAACAATCTCAAGTAAAAGATATGAGAGCAGACTACAGCAGCTACAAGTCTTGATCCATGAAACATAAATAGAATACATATAAGTTCGAAAGGTTCAGGACACTAAAGATATAAAATAAAAATTAAACCCGCTGGTATTTCTATTGTAAAACTGGGAAAGATTAAATTTAAAATGATGAAATGTAAAAAATATTGCCCTTGGGGAAAGCGCAGAAAAAATCCCAATGTCTCAAAGAAAATGCATAAAAAAAACAATTTTACCATAGAACCCTTCAATCAATTCATATGAAGTCGTGGAAAGCCAATGCTTAGAGTAAGAATGTATTATAAAACAGAACCAAGCAAAAGACAATTTTACCATAACGTGCAACAAAAAAATGTGAGACAAGAAAATTTGAAAATATGGAAAGAATATTAAATGGTTAATAACACGGGAAAGCTCACCTGCTCTCTATAAAATCAAGAAGCACAGCTCCTTCAAAGGCACTAAGAAGTCCTATCAAAGCCTTCTCTCTTGTGGATCCCCTACAATGGAGAAATAAATAAGAACTGCTTCAGAAAACAAGAAACTCCTTATCTCTCATGATGCCAATACACAAAATTGGCTACAAAAAATAAAATCAAGCATGAAGATATATCTAACATAAGTTTAGTGCTGCAATAACAATAACAAAGTAGTTAAAATGTTTAAAAATATAGTCAATATAAACTCGTACATAAACAGCAAAAAATTTATAACAAGCAATAACCAGTATAAGAATATAATGGCCAGATAATCAAAAGGTACACATTAGGAAGAGATTTTATAGGGAGGGAGAAACGTGCTAAGAAAATTGCAAGCAGCAAGCAGCAAGCCGCCAAATATTAGAACAAATTCTTCACATTTTAACGAAAAAACTCTCTCATTGCCAAGAAAAAAGGCATTCACTACACTTCCTGGAGGCTAGAGCAGCAGTTTTAAAACTGCAACAAGGCCACTGAAGATAGAATCCACAATAATGTAGTTTCTGGACAGAGAGATTTCACAGCATCGTTTTGTAGCAGCGGTTTAAACCCCACGACAAACATTATTAAACCACTAAAACTCTGGACTGTTAATAATTAATAGTTTAAACCACAATAAAACATCTACTAGATTTGCAGCGGTGTAAAAAAATAATCAGCAGTTTAGACTGCCGCAAATCTGGACTATTTTCAGCAGTTAAAAAATGTGCAAAAAGTCAAAAAAAATTTTAATAAATTTCGCATAATCGGCCATTTACACCGCTGCACAAAACCAATTAAAGGATATAATCCAAAGTCTAAACAACATTCAACTTATAAAATATGGATCCCAATTTTACATGATTTACATTCATTTTTACATGAAGAAAATAAATAATTAAAGATATATTTAAAATACCAAAAAATGCTCTACATATGATAATCAATATTACAATTTATGACATCGAAGTGCATTTTCCACTGCATTGTTTGGCAAATCTTTAGCTCAAACAAGAGAGTAGAATGTAGATTAACTATGTGACAAGTAATTTTATTGAATACAAATAAAGAATCGTCGATGAAAAAACATTGCATGGGAAATCAAATCATAATGTGTCAAAGTAACTTTGAGCTATAAAATAGTTGAATTGGAGTTTAGATGATCTCATCTAAATCACAATTAATGGGATGAATAAAGAAACACATGTAGAGAATTGAATGGAGTAAAAATTAAATAAAAATTTAGATCACTCCATAAATACATAACAGCAATATCATATGTTCAAATTAAAGCAGCTAGCAAAGCTTAAGAAAAATAAATTATAACTAAATATCACGGCATGAAATTATATCAGCATAAAATTTGATTAAAACAAGAAGATTTTTTATCTAAATTATAAGATATTTAAATTAAAATAAACAAAATTAAGTCTTATTCATTAAGAATATGAAATCTAAAATTCAATATATATTTTATTTTAACAAATATTTTTATAATCTAATTAAAATGTTATATGAATAATCCCGATGCCAGTAAATAATTCCTTAAATCAGAAGAAGTGTCTATGTGTGCACGTATTTTGATCAAGAATCCCAATCCATGTGTATTTTGATAGTATGTACATATAAGTCACCTACAAAGTAGAATACGATCTTTTAAAAACGTGTATAGAAGGAGCTCAAGTCTAAGCCACGCAAGGAATAATGTCTAATTCAAGTAACTTAAAAGCAAAAATAGCTCATCATTTTTTGTATTTAAGATAAATCAAGAAATTTAGAATTGATTAAATACTTAATGGGAAACCAGCGTTTAACATTCCCACAAGAATTTTCTATGAAAACAAAATCTAGGCGAAAGGCAAAAAAAAAAAAAACTATTGTCCATTCAAATAAATTCAATAAAATTATCCGATGACTACACTTGGAAGCTTATCTTAACTTTCTTAAACAAAACTTGTCCAACTATGATTAAGTGATTACCAGTTTAAATCGCTAAACTAGACTCCTCTACCCACAATTTATGTGTATCAATATCCTCCCAGAGTCATGAAAATAGGAATCTTAGGCACTAGGTAAGCCATTCTTATTCCTCAAATCTAAGCATCAAACAATTATTGTTTATCTAACCTTCTAATCATAAATTTAGCGACTAACCAAATGCACCGCTGAAACGTTAAAAAAAAAGGGAGTGGTACTGTAATTCTCACCCATAAAATATGTTCCAATAAAAGATAAGATAACAAACATACATTAGCGGATTTGGGCAGGGATGCGTGCCAAATTTTTACATTTATATCACCAAAATTTTTTATATCACATAAAATTTGCAATTTAAGTGTCAGAAATGTAAATATGTAAGAATTGAGTGGTATGTATGTAAATCATCCAAATTTTTTATGTCTTCTATATTATTTGTTTTTTAGGCTTTGGAAGAACAAGTAGTTAAGCCCTGCTCTAGCCTGTGCTTGCTCCAGCCTGCCCAATTGTGCCACCACTAGCACTCACACCCCCTCTTTGGTAGATCCTAGTATTTACATGAAATTTAAAAATTAATTATTTCGTGCCCCCTCTTTAAAAAATTTCTGGCTCTACAGCTGATAACATATCATCCTTCCAAGTATAGTCCTTACCTACACTTTGTTAGAACATAAATCAAAAAAACTAAAAACTAAAAACAGAGAATTAATTGTGTTAAAGAGAACAGGGCAATTTGAAGCTTTCCTAAAACTCTAGTTACTGTGTGGAGTATCGAGCAACTGTGGGACGCCTACACTCTCACCCACCCTTCTACCCTACATAGCAAAAGAATGAAGAACCTTAATTTTTTAAAGTTATGATCAATAAATAATGTTGCACAAATTAACCAAAAGAGGCAAACTAAAAAAGAATGATCTTGCGCAGTTAACTAACACTAACAAGTTCAATTACAGCTGCGCAAACCAAATAACAACAAAAAAAAGAAAATATTCCTGCACTATCACTTTTTCTAGAATGAAGATTAGTGAGTCGAATTACAACAAAGATTTGCAAATTGCTCTAGAAATACTAGCAGTCAGTTTTAAAAGTTTTTATGGAATCATTTTAACATCTTGTTTAAAAACAAAAATGTCCATAATTTAGAAAATTTTCCTGAAATAGATTCCAGTACACCACAGCATCAAATGACGCTGATCCTCGGGTAACTCGACCTAGCACGTAGTTCAAAATACTTGATGTCCAAAAAAAAATTTAACCCAGAGGAACTGGTAATTCTAAACAAAAAATACAAGAATTTCCGAAGAAAAGTTGAAACTGCTGGTAAAACTACTAAAAGTTCAAAAAAAATTTAAGAAAAATGCTTACGGGCAAAAACCAAATGAAAAAAGGGAAGAAATTAAACATCCACAAAATTGAGTAGAAGTAGGCAGTAATCTCCTTTAAATTAAAGAGATTAAGAGATAAAGAAGAACCTTTTTTCATAGAGAGCATCCAGGTAATTCCCAAGCGAGAACTCCTGTGAATCGACTCTCTCCGTCTCCTGAGCTAAAGTTAGCTCAGAGAAAGCCGTCGAAGAAGAGCTCACGCTATCAGCGTCACTGCTGTCAAACTGATCAGCTTTCTTCTGCTTTCCTGTAAGAACAAAGTTCATCAGAACCATCCAATTCCTCAAAACAAACCAAAAAAGACCATCAATAAATAAATAATTGAAGAAACCCAAATGAAGAACTTAATTTTCTCCGACCAAAAAACACGGAATATCCAATCTGATTCTCCCGAAAACATTCATAAGAACAATTCAGAATAAAAAGCTGAAATTTTCTCCCAAACTTACGTTTCCCCATGGAAGAATCTTCCCTGCGGATCCTTCAATCAAAAGCTGGCGCGAAGGCCGTGAAAATAAGCAAAAGAAAAACGGACGTTACAGTGGGAATCGAAGACCTTCAGAATCTGAGTGAAATTCGCGATCGGATTCGAAGACGAATAGTAAGAGCTGACGGCACGAAATCCACCAGAGAAGAGCAGAGCCATGTGTTGATTGGGAGAAGGGATAGGGTTTCGTGGCGGCTGAGTAGAGGAGATGAAGGAAAAGTGCGTGATCTAATACTAAATATCTCAGAACCCTAGAAAATTGCTCAACCCACGCACGGTAGCTACAGTGGGTGTCGTCTAACTTTCAACGGATTACGAAACGTGGGGCGGTTAGCATAGGATCGGCCGTTCGCTTATCCAGAGAGAAGATCGTGACCGTATATATTTATGGTAATTTTCCCTTACTGTCAGATATTTCAAAAGTTCAAAATAACAAATTAACGCTGACGGTTAGTTTAAGATCTACCGTCCGTTTATTGCAACATTTCGTGGTCTAATTTTTCAGTAGTTGCTTTTCTAAGGCTTGGTTTGGGGTCGTTTTTTTCACGGGTTGCGGCCCATAACCACGATAGATTACTATTTGGTTACCAGCTTCGCTGCCGAACGACGCTGAAGCGGGAGAGAAGCGGGCCGCAGTATCGACCCTGTGGCCCCAGCTTTCACCTCCTAATATTTGAAATTGCCCTCGCTAATAACCGAAGAAAGACAGAGGTATAAAGAAAGTTTTCAAAAAACTTTTCTTCATAAGCTTTGATAATTCAATTGCTTGATCTAGAGATTCTAGATGATGGATCCATATTTTTTTGTGATAGATAGTTTTAACTCAGATTCAGCTTTGTAGGATTTCATTTTGGTAATCTATTCATTACATGTGTTTTTAAATGCCTCCACTTTGATTGTGTTGCATATGTGTTTTTATTCCTAAACAGAAATTGTTAACACTTTGGGGTCTTACTGAAGTTCCAAAATTATGATTGTTATAATATTTTTTTCAACAGTTTTTCTAAATAGTGGTAGTGTAGTCTTTTTTCCACAAACAACTGTCCGACAGCTGGTTTGACACAGTTGCACCAAACAGACAACCAGCTTCCCCGCAGCTGCTTCCTCGCAGCAGCTTCCTGGGGTAGCGCAGCTGCAGTTGAAAAACTGAGAAGCTACAGCTGCTCCAAACATAGCCTTAGTCTTTCATCAATGTAGGCACAGTCCATCCCTAATGAGATCTTCATGTCGTGGCCACAACTGATTGAATTCAATCATCTACTACTTCGCCCCTCGCTCTAGCTGCACTTGGTTATTTCACATCATATATGGTATTCAATTTTTTGTAAGTCAACTATTTTAAGTAATTCGAGTTCCATAAATTAGCATAAAAAAATACGAATGATGCATAAGAATTTTATGATCCTAAAACTAATAATTAGACTAATTATTATTATTATTATTTTAAATAATAGTTGGAAAGCAAATACTCAGATTTAATGAAACATTTGGAGGAAGCTAGAGAATGTAAAGAACTAAATTAGTCAGATAGACTGCCCAAGTGGTAACTTACATGTGTCAATAACTTATAAATGCAATTATGATAAGGTTCTTCATTTATTTTATAATATTTCAGCTCGTTCTCAAAATAAATTTTAGAATTTAAATTAAATAATGTTGGCATCACTTATTCTTGGCTCTCAAAATGATGTCTTGTTTAATGTAATTTAACATTGAAATATCATTTTGCTTATGCAGTTAATAGACATGAGCATTTGTTAAGTGATATTTTTTAGCTTAAAAATTAGTTTTAAGTTTTCTAGAATTTATGATATCGCATTAACTGATTAATTAACTAGAGAATAAAAAATAAAAAATATTAATATAATTTATTTTTATGAAAGGTAAATATTAGATTAATCAAAAATATTTTTTTTATTTATTTAACATTAAAATATCATTTTCAAAAGCTTAATTACACCCAATGTGTTTCATGCAAAAAGTTCTTAAAGCAATTATCTTAATGATTGTATTTCTTAGAAAGAATAAAAGGATAGATTCAAGTCTTATTATTGAGGGGCCATGTGGTATCAGTTATAGTTTTATTTATATTTTATTTGATATTTTGTTTTTTTTTTTTTTAAATAAAATATGTCTGATATATTTGATTAAGTTATCGTCATTTCTTAAGAGTTTTTTAAGAGTTTTTTTTGTGAAAACATATTTACTTATTTTTAGAAAGAAAAAAAAATATTAAAAACAAATTAAGCAAACATATTCTTAAAAACAGATAAAAAAATGAAGACATGGTTGCTTCCAAACAAGCGCTAAACTATTTGAGTTGCATAGATGTGATATTGAAAAAATGCATTTTTATTCAGTATTAATTATTTTGTTTTATGTCATATCTTTTTTTTTCTTAAATATAATGTGACCCTTTGATTTCAATCTCTTGGTATTTTGACGGCTCTTTTGTCTTGCAATGACGCCAATGATACTAACTCTTCAATCACAAAATGTGCATTCTCTCTCTCTCTCTCTCTCTCTCTCTCTCTCTCTCTCTCTCTCTCTCATTTTCTCTTTTAAAAGTATTTTCTTCATCAATCTTATTATAGGTATGCTAAATTTTGTTTGATCTTGGTGTTCACATAAATTATCATCATACAACAAATAAAATGATATTTACATTATTTTCTCAATGTAATCATTGGCAGGGTTGTAATTGAATCGAGTCCAACAAAATACTAAATTGTTCAACCTCGTTTGTTTGTCCATAGTTGACGCAAATAATTTCAACATGTAGTCTTCTTACCAAACATATTAATGATTGATAATAATAAACATCTCACACTCTCTAGAATTAGAAAACCAAGAGCCTTGCTCTCTTCCCCCACCCCATATATGCATGTGTTATAAAATTTATACCTTTAATAACATACATGTCTAAAAGACACTTGAGCAATCGGTCAGGAAAAAAAGCAAGCACTCTTTTAGGTTCCCTAATTCTAGAGGGAAAGTGAGGTGCTTATTTTGGGTTCTTGAGCAAGAAGTTTTTGATTTCGTTCACTAAAATGAGATAGTATTGCGTGAAGCACTAGTTCGGGGTTTAGGATCCTTTGGCCTTTTCTCTATATCTTCTTCTTATTCTTGTGGGTTGTGGTGACTATAAGCTCGGTCGAGCCATTGACAAATCCTCTAATTTTGAATGATCAAGGGAGATGTAATAAAGAGTTAATATTAATATTATGATTTCTTATATTACAAAAAATAAAATAACTATGCTCATATAAACGTAAATAAAGTAGTTCAAATCCCAAGCATACTCCAGCGAAATTTAAAAAAAAAATTGCAATTATAAATGATACTTTTTAAAAACATTTTCAAATAAACTAAAAAGATAATTTTCAGGAAGAATTAAAGGATTTAGTAACAAATTGGCGCTCGTTTTCAGCGTGAATAATAAAGATCGAGTGAGAGAAAGAAATGCAGAGAGTGAGGAGATCATCTCTCCCCCTGGTCTCCGTCCCCTTCCTGTAACCGCAGCACACTCCGACCAAATGTCTCTCCTTCCCAACTATATCCCTTGCACACGATCCGGCGGTTAATCCACCGGAAAGTTTTCCAGCGGTAAAAAGGCCGCCAATCATTTAACTTCCATGCCGACCCACATTCCTTCCCTGTTCTTAATTTATTGCTCCACTCTCTGTTTTTGAAGGTTTCTGTTTCTGTATCTATGGAGCTCTTCTGTCCCGAAGATGGAAGCCACCTTGCTTTTTCCGACGAAGACGAAGACGAAGACGATGAAGCCAATGAAATCTCCATTTTTTCGAACGGCCCCTTCCTCTCTCAAGCCGATGACGAATATATAGAAGCTCTCGTCTCCAAAGAGATGACCTTTACAAAATCAAACCACTCCTCCTCCGGCGATCGTCTGCACTGCGAGAGATTCGAATCCGTCCATTGGATACTCAAAGTGAGCTTACCATTGTCGACCAAACTCACTATGTAACAATCCATGCGTAAAGATCTCATCTTTTTTATGGTTTGCGGTTTTCTTCTCTGATTTAGATGAAGGCCTGCTTCGGTTTCAGTTCACAGACCGCGTACCTCGCAGTGACTTACTTGGACCGGTTTCTCCACAGGCGGACCATCGATGTAAGAACAAAAAGCTTCGCCTTTATTATTATTTTGTTAATAACATTTTTGTTGATTTGCCATGGATTAGGAGGGGAAGAAATGGGCGATGAAGCTTTTATCCATAGGTTGCTTATCCCTGGCGGCAAAAATGGAGGAATGCACGCCGCCACTTTTGACAGAGTATCGATTCGAAGATTACAACTTTAGCAGCAAAGTGATTCAGAGAATGGAGCTTCTTGTCTTGGATACATTAGAATGGAGACTGAACTCAGTCACTCCATTTGCTTACCTTTGGTATTTTGCATCAAAATTCCACTTTAAGAACTGCTCTGGAAAGCTACTCCCTATAGCTATCCGATTCATCTTTGTGGCGGTAAAAGGTGCAGGATTCTATGTGTTCATGCTTCTCATCTTTTGCTTTTCAATCAAAAATGCTATTTTTAAGCTTATTTTTTCCAAATGCAGCTATGAATTTGATTGATTACCGCCCTTCAACTATAGCTGCTGCAGCAATCATAGCTGCATCTGGTGAGGAATCAACTAAGAAGTTATTCGAATCTAACACTAGCGTGCTCTCACTGCCTGATCCTTCAGAAAGAGTAAGTTTAATACCTAACCTTCTATGCCATTATTTAACAAAACAAGTCAGGAGAATAAATAATGGGGATAAAAAAAGCAATATTTCGACACTAATTCATGTCGCAGGAGCATGTATTTACCTGTTATAAAGCAATGATTCGCGAGTCACAAAAGGAGAAAAAGAGATCACAAAAGGTATTACTTTCACTGGAAATATCATCAAACGGTGCAAATCTACAAAACTCGAATAATTTCATCGATATCACCAATTTATCTTCCACCATCAATAAGAAAAGAAGAATTCAATCACCTCATGGTTAGTACAGTATTTCATAATATGGGAATGAAAAAGAACCTTCACTGTTTTAGCTTCACTGCAAAAAAGATGGGAGAGAAAAAGTGAAAACTTTTTTAGCACCGAGTCCCAAAGCCGACTGTACGTTTGAAAAAGGAGGATGAAACGGAAAAAGGTTGAAGGCAACAAAGAAACCATTGAAGAGTGTTTGGTGGTAAGCTTGGAGCTCGAAAGCTAGCCTTTTTTTGGTTTACAGCCCTTGGCTTTCCTTGATGTATTTTTACCCGTTATTCATTGCATTTTATTGCATTTCTTGTTTTTCTCTGATGGAGTTTGATGTGTAAAGATGCTGATAGAGAATGTGCCCCTATATATATATTTTTTTTGAATTGCAGCTCTATTTATGATTAACAGCTTTAATGGTGTTGGAAAAAAAGGTGATACAGTGTAATTTGACTTATTCGAATATTGGGAAAGGATGAAGTTACTATTATAATAATTTTATTTTATTTTTTATTTTATTTTTTTGGGAAAGATGAGAGTCCTGGGTCAATTATATCATATAAGGGAGATGTAAACAGTACAGTTTAAAAAATTAGCTATTGAATATTTGGCTTGTGCAGAACAAAATAAAGAAACTATAATAGAAATAGCTATTGAAAACTAGCAGCATGTGGGTGGCTAATTAGTCTTTACTTGCTACGATAAGTAGAGATCCAAGAGGCAAAAAACGTTTTTCATCGAGTCTTACTTATAATTTTTTAAAGTAGTACTCATGTTTTTTTAAAATACTAATTTGTATTGATATTAAGCTTGTATAAACACCCGTGATAGTGGTTGAGGATTTAGTTCCCCAAAAAAATCAACAGATGCACTTCAAACTGTTATCTTCATCCATTTTTTCTCTCTTGAAATAATATAAACTATGCATCAAAGAGTGAATAAGAAGAATTTTTAACTTTGCAGGTCTAAATAAAGATTGAACAAAGCATAGGAGGTTGGTATAAAGAGAGAAGTTGAGAATATAATTGTTATTTCAAATAAATTTAGCCAATAGAAATCACTGAACTTGTTAGAACAAAATTACCATAATTAAAGCGGGTTTCAGACAAATTGCAATAAATTAAAGGTTTCCAAAAGCATGGCTTTACTCTGTGCTGCCGAAATTCTCAGATGAGCACACAGTGGGTCTTAAAAAAAATGGAGAAAAGGTTGCCTCCTTTGGAGGCTAGGGCTTTCTGTCCAATCAGAAACAGTTTAAAAATCATTCAAGACGAAAACGAAATAATATTTAATTCCACAAAAGTCAAAGAAGTTTTACATGGAACCTAATATTTGACCAAGTCAACACAGCATCATTATCTGAAGTCTCTGTCATAGATAATTCTGAAACAGGGATCTGTGTCCCTTGCATTAAGTGTAGTGCGTGATACCTCTTTTTCTTATTCTACCATATTTCAATGAATCTGGTTTGGGCTTTTATACACTCCACCATCTGACTTTAAATAATATTTAATCAAAAATATTTTTTGCATGAGATATCAACAGGTCAATCGGAACCAAAACAGGGCTTCAACAAAATCATGGATTAATGCGTACAGGTGCAGGGAAGAGAGTTTAAGTGATAAAAGAATACAAAGGTTGCATCAGCATAAACTGTTTTACAATCACTGGTAACAACCGTATCATCCTAATGTCCTTAATCATCTTGAATCAGCTATCACGTTAAAAGATCTTGATCATGTCAACAATTTTTTCGGAGTTCAGATACGGCAAAATGCTCATGGGTATCTGCTTACTTGAACACACTATATTCACACTCTTTTACAACAACTAGACATGGAAAATTGCAAGGCTCTTCACACTCCACTACCTACAAAATTAAAACCCGATGCTAATTCTCAACATGACTGATCTCAAAGTACTCGATATCATCAATTTGCTGGCTCCCTACAATTCTTAACTTTTATAAGGCCAGATATAGCCTTTTTTTGTCAACCTTATTTGTCATTATCTGTCAACAGATGCACAAACCTCTTATCTATTACTTTCATTTAATCAAAAGGTTACTTCGTTAACTTAAAGACGCAATTCATTAAAGCGGGCTTTCACCTCAAGGTAAAAAACAGAAGACTATTTCTCGATCATCCACGAAAGTGGAATATCGGGCTCTTGTGGCAGCCACCACAGATATTATATGGCTTCGGAGTCTTCTTTATCCCAACGAGCACAGTCGGGAATTACCTAAATCTCTACCTCCTCCACTGAATCCTGGAACCCTTACCAGAGTCACTTCTCAGCCCTTTCGACGATATGGAGCACAGTGAGATCTGTATGCAATTCCTCGATCTATCTCGATCAGCTCCAATCTATCTTATCGAGATAACATGTCCGACAGTAACTCTTCCACCCCTGGATCTAAAGTACGTTCATCCTCTTCCAGAAATGCTATCACCATTCTCCCGGTCCTCAAATTTCTCATGTCAAATGTAAGAATCATAGCCCACGTTTACCTCTCTAGTGACAACTATCCCACATGGCAATCTCAAATACTTAAACTATTCAAGGCAAAAGAATTTGATGGTTTTTTGGAAGGAACCGAAACATATCCACCTAAACAAACTCAACACTCTGATGGACACTTCTCCACAAATCCAGATTTACAGCAATGGCAATTAATTGATCAAAATTTGTCCGCCGCTATCTAATCTACAATATCCTTCTCTATTCTTCCCTACAGTTTGAATCTGGACTCTACAACAGCCATTTGGAGTACTCTAACCATGCGACTTCAAGAAATAAACAGATCTCAGGTCCTGCATTTACGCACTGCTCTGCACAACAGTTCCATGGGAGATCTTACCATGTCACAATATTTGTTAGCCATCAAGTCCATAGTGGACAGCATTACCTTGGACAGCATTATCTTGCACACTCTCAATGGCTTACCATCGGTTTATCAGCCATTAGAACTCAATCTGAACCCATCGACATTGATGAACGTTACTCCCTCCTACTCACCGAAGAAACCAACATTGTTGTGGAACAAGCTAAGGAGGCTACTGCTGCTGCCATCACTCTTTATTGGTCCACCAACAGAGAAGGACGCGGTAGCTTTCGTGGAAGGGGCCGAAACTCCAATCCGAGAGGGGTTGCTCAATCCCAACCCAACAAAGGAGGCCGCAACTCCACGGCTTCAAGCATATCATGCCAAATCTGTGGTAAGTTCGGTCACACAACCATCATGTGCTGGCATAGAACCAATTTTACCGCAGCCATCCTCAAAATCAGACACTACCCTCATGACCAACACAAAGCCCCATGACTGGATATTGGATAGAGCATCTACAACAACCAATTCGGTATCAGGGACATGACACTTGGTGATGGATCCACGCATTCCATCACATACACAGGTCAAGGATTGCTACCTACTCCGCAAAGTAAGCTCCTCTTACCAGATATTCTCTACTCTGCTCACAACCTTATATCAATCCACAAATTGACTTCTGATAATAATTGTATTATCATCCTTTCTAAATCTGATTTCATTAGCAAGGATCAGAGGACACATAAAACAATCCTTGAAGGACCAAATAAAAATGTCCTCAATCCAATCAAAGCTCTATCAGCCGTCCATCAACTCTCCATCTCACCCATTCAACGCAGGCGCAGACGCTTGGGACATCCCATCCAAAAGCTATAATTCCCTATAAAAAAATCATAATCGCCAATACTCCATCATCCAGCCCGTAATAAAAAGAGGAGCAAAAAAAGTTTCTTTTCTGCATGAATGACGCATATAAGACCAGCCTTCCCAACACCCGAAGGGGCAAAGCCCAAAGTGATAGTGAAATGAAACAGAACAGCATAATAATTCATCATCTCCTCAAATAAGGAGTATCCATAATATCATCATTATGCTACATCATCTACAAATAAGGCAAGCGTTTAATGAAGGAATAACACTATTTTCTATTGTTCAGCTCTCTCTCCTCATTTACGTTCTTTTTCTCGAGTGCGATTCATGGATAATCATTGATTGAATATTATTCAAACAAGGGTTTTGTTATTCAAATTTTAAAATAATGTTATTTTTTATGCTATATGAAAAATTTGGGTGGAAAAAGGTAAAAAAGTATAGTTTAGGTATTAGATTTGTAAATACATAGAAATTGGTTGGTATGTATGTAAAAAATATTTTATGAGGATGTTTAAAATTAAGGCACGTGTCTGTAATTAAAAAAATTGAAAGTCATTTTATAAGAAAGCAGAAGGGAGCATTAAATTCTTGGAAGATTAAAACATGTAGTTTTTTTACAAAACTCTCTTTAGAGCATAAAAATTGCAATCATCGCCAACTTATCATGGCTTCAACCAGCCAAGCAGGAAGCAAAAACAAGGTCGCAAAATTGAAACATTTGAGCGATAGAAAAAACTAGACCTGATTGGAACGCTTCATTGCCGCCGACTCCCATCGCTTGGAAAGGTTGGCTGTGAAGCGAAATCGACGGAAAATTTGAGATACAGAGATACCGCCTCCGCTGGAGCGCCTCCTCCGACGAGTTATTTGGAAGTACACCGCCAAGGTTCTGTTTAGGTAACTCCCCATCTCCATCCCACCCTGCTTCTTTACCCCTGACTTCTTCCCTCTGCTAATATCAACTCCTCATATTCTCCTCGAAAGAAAGCTTCTTTCTACACGAATCAAAACTCAAGAGACTGAAGGAGCAGGGCACTTGAGGCGCGTGACCGAAAATTTGAAGGGAACAAAGGCGGAGAAGGATGATGCGATAAGATTGGTGAAATGATATCTCAAAACATAAAAATTATTTTATGGGCTCCCACGTATCAAATTATTTAATTTTGCATTTAATAGGACGCATTCTGATTTAAGTACTGATGTAATTTTACATGAGAACTCCTATTGCAGTATTCTCAAACAGAGACGAGGAGGATTCATAAAAGAAGCTCAGGAAGCTGTAATTTGGTCTACAGGAACTAATATTTCTTCTTTAGTTTGGTCAAATCATATTCATAGGTTATTCAGCTTCAATTTAAAATTGAGCTAAACTTTCACATACATGTGTATATTTAATTTGTGTATAATTTTTAATAATCACCTTTAATTTGTACTTCACTTGTTAATATTAAGGGACAAGCTAAAAAATTGGATGAGTACTAATTTTTTATATAAAATAAAAATTTTGATTTACACTTAATTTTCATATAAAGTTAATAGGCAATTTAAGATTTTAAAAAATTGCGTGATTTTTATATAAAATTGTTAGGTATGACTCATATACCAGATAAGGGACAAATGCTGGAGCGGAGCTCCCAAGCGGAGCAGAGTTCGCGAGCGGAGTGGATCGGATCTGTCCAATCTGGGGAGTTTCATTACTTGGGTTGGGGGGTAACGCCCACGTAGTACGGTACAGGGATAATTCTGTGATTACATATTGTACTTCAGGATTATATATATGTCTTGTTTGTAACTCTAGGTCTTAATTCTGTATTTTATACTCTTTTTTAGAATTGAAAAAAAGTCGTCGCTCTACTCCCGAGGATGTAGACATATTTGCCGAACCTCGTTAAATCTTTATGTTTTTTTTTTGGATTTATATCGATTCTTATTTATTTGCCCTAAAATTCTCAACAAAAATGATTTTGCAAATATAAATACATAATTTATTGAAAAAAGTTTAAATTACATCTAACTAGATTATACAAAATATATAAAATAGTATATAAGTTTTAAATAAATTTTCCTCCAATAAAATAACATAAATAATGACTAACAAATTAGTTCATCCAAATTGACACCAAAAGAAAAAAATTTCAAATTTATATACATTTTCATATTAAATTATAATACGCTTCTATGAAATATTGAATTAAATAAATTATAGTTAATAATTCTTTTTTTAAATAATTTCATTCAAGTACATAATATTTAAGAAACTATTTACTGAAGAAAAATTGAGCTTATTTAAGAACAGTAATAAATAAATTTTACTTTGTTCAAATTTAGTTTATTTAAGATTTGAATTTCAACAAAATATTTAAATTATTTACTTATTAATTTGAGCAAACATGGAACATTAATCAAGCCAAGTTCAAATTACTCAGCAAGTGTATTGGTTCATTTAAAGTCCTACAGGCATACCTCCATATTTCAATATGGAACACAAAATTTACCCTTTATTTTCATATATTCCACCCAAATCTTTATATCACGTCAAAAGTAAAGCTATTTAACTTTTCATTTTTTATGAACAGATAAGATTTCATTTATGTAAAAATTAAAATTTAAATATATAAGATGATATATTAGAGCATAATCATTTGAATGCTTAGTGTTAGAATCTTTTAAGGATGGAGAGTCTTACATCGTTCGTTCGTGAGTACATATAACTCGAAAGTGACTTGTGTAAGAAGGGTGCAGAAGAAGACTGGATATTTTCTCCAAGCCTGAAGAAAAGCTAAAGAGAACAGAGAAGATCTGATCCCCACAAGGGTGGGAGGCAACATTTATTTATCTGACACATAGATGGTCCACCCAGATTACATAAAGAGAAAGAGAATGAATGATTATGGACGTACATATATTAGATATGGAGAAGAAAACAGATTAAACATTTACCATCATTGAAGCACAAAAATAAAAATGAGATATCTTTTCCCTTGAAAATTGAGAGCCTGAGCTCAATTCAAATTAATATAAACAACAATCACAAACTTGCAAGGATTAAGCTAAACAAAAACAAAAAGGAAAAACTACAACTTGACAATAACTCCGAAAAAAAATGACTTAATTAGATATCGTCCAAGTCAAAAGATCTCGAAACAACAATCATCCGCACCAATCAAAAGAAAACTAAACCAATTGTTAAAAGATTTTGTGCAGTTACAGATAAAAACTCTAAACTCTTAATCAAAACTGGATCAGTTAAGTATTTGTACAAGCTATCCTGATGATCCACATTAAGAATAGTTTACAACTGAACTAAGCACATTCAAAAAAAAAAAAAAAAAAAAGAAAGGATCATAACCATTTGAGCACATGGAAAAATCAAAGAGAGATAACAGCCACCCAGAGAAGCTTTTCTCAAGCGGTAAAAGATTACAAAACTAGTAGAAAAGAGATGGGGGAGCCAAAACTTCAGTAAGCAAAGATTTAGCAGAAAAATCTTCCATCTCATCATTCCAAAGCCTTGGCTTTTCAATTACTCACCTTGTGCCTAACTTGCCAATTAATACGAGATTTCTAATTTCGGCCCCACCAAAAAATGGAATTACAAGACTTATTATTTCTTTCTTGCCAGATGTTCGCACTCTGAACCCACGCAGGTAATAGAACATTTTTTTCGAATCAAACGATTATGATGGTAGCGTGATGCAAAGTGAAGAAATTGCAAAGTTGAAGCATTAGAAAAGGAAAAATAAATCTATGGTTGGGGAATGGATTCATGATCAACTACATGGAGTAAAAGCATTCAAAGAAAGAGTGACAATTGCACTCCTCAAAACCGAAACAAAGCGCAAAAAAAATCAGGGATGAAAAGCACCATTTAGAATGCTTTGAAGCTATTTTGAAAGCATGTTCCCCATATAAATAAAATATAGGGGCATTTTCATACATAGCACACAATTCTTATGTATTTATGTATCTCACATGTAAACTTTCATATTTACACACATAACACTCAAATCTTTAATATCACATCAACAATAGCATTATTATTACTTTTAAAAAGTGAAATCCACCTTTTTATGCATATATTTAAAGCAACAAAGTGCTATGTATATAAATATGAAAGTTTAGGTGTGAGATATATAAATACATAAGAATTGTGTGCTATGTATGTAAATTTTCCTAAAATATATCAAGGAATGCTTCTTATACCACACAAACTTATAAAAATTAACATCCAGAACAACACTAAATAAGAAATTTGTTGCATGAGACAATTTCCAAGCACAATTAGAGGAAATATCATAGTAGAGCACTTGGAGGGAAGAAAAAAGAATATTCACACAATATTTCCTTCTGTGGATGCAAAGATGTATCAAAAGAATTCTCTGTCAACGTTAGAGGTGAAGGTCGCTCTTAATTCTGAAGAACTATAGAAGAACTGTGAATTTAGAAAAGAGTATAATAAAAGTTTTCTTGGTTTGCAGCGTAAGAAATATGAATCCCATTTTCTAATTTCTTTAAGTGCTCCTGTGTGTAATTAAAAGAGACTAAAATATCTAAGACCGATGTTTCTTTACAGGCCCAATTTTTAGCATGGAAACACGCAACACAGATTCTTTCGCTTGTTAAGGTGCTGCAGATAACAGAATTCTTGAATTTTGTATGTTTTGATTTTCATCTGATGAGTTAGAAAAAAAAGTAAGATGTTGCATGAAAACTAAGTTAAATCATACAATATTAGACATGTCAAGATAACCTGCATATAAGGAGGACAAATTCACAAAACCATACTCAATGAGCATTGATTAAAGAAATTTAATCCTTCATTGAAATTGCCAATCTGTCGCAGCCATCCCATTTGTATTATAACTTTAAATCCCTCTTAAACCAATTGATCCAATTGGTATAACTGCAAAGAGAAACTGTTAACTCTGATTTTACATGAATTTTTATTAATTAGATCTTGAAAGATCCTTGTAAACCTGGGGTGAAATATTTATCTAAGAGAATAAATTCAAGTCGATGCCACCTAGCGAATGACTTTTTTACTCAATCGGATTTAGTATATGATTCACAACTCAGAAGGGTAGGAAGTCACTTGGGAATATATAGGCTACAACCGTGAACATAATATAATTGAATAGTTAGGCCAAACCATCCGATCAGAGAGCACAAGCCGTAATTGTAATATCTATGGAGTTATTAAGCCAAACAATGTGGACAAAAATTTGAGTCATGTTCTTATTAGTACAAATTATTTTGAGTATGAATGTAGTAGTATACTTATTACAACATCAGCTCCATGTGTAAAAAAGGTAATATCAAATTTACCACCCTCAATAAACTAGTATAAAAATGAATAAAGTTCGTTTTTAATTTTATGTTATAGAATTTCACATGAATATTAAAAGTTATAAAATTTAAAAGCTTGATTTTAAAAATAAATCATTTCAGTTGGGATTTACATTTAACACGATCATCATGAGAACAAATATTGAAGAATATCTGAAGCATATATGTTCGTCATTTACTTAAGATTATTACCCAAATATCATTAAAAGTATCAGTCCTATCTACTCATATCTTTGTGAGGAGGAGAATCACTCTTGCTTTATGGAGGTCTAGTCTTGTCTACTCGAGAGCATAAAACATCAACTAATTATGAATGATATCTTTTGAAAAAAGATATTTTGAAGAATTCGGATTAATAGCATGTTACTCAATGTGAATCATAATTTAGCTTGAATCTAAATTCAAATCGTGCATCATTCATAGAGTTAAGTGTTTTAAATGTTTAATACAACGTTCGAAACACACGTGAATTTTTTTAAACTTCAAGGGTTAAGCATATTTTAAAATATTTGCATGTTTTAGATGATTTTTATGTCTTTTGGGGCAATATATTTAAGTTGAAGAATGTCTCGTGAAACACATGCAATATTTTATCTGTGTGAACATTCTAATGCGTGCAGAGCTTCATTTGAAACTTCATAACATGATAACATCTTTTGTCCACTAGTGCATAAGTGTTGTGCATAGGTGATGTGTGTACATATTGAATCCTAATTTAAAATTTTAGATTAGATTCCAATTTAGATTCATGGGCTAATGTTACTTGAAATTTTTGTCTTTACTTAAGAAGGGAATGATTCATCTACATATGTAATATTTTAATTGAGTGGACCTTAAGTGGCACCTTTTCTATTCAAAATAGGAATATATTCCAATTCATTTTAGCACTTTGTTAAAAGAGTTGGAATGCAAAGAGGTTATGTTCATTGCTCACAATAAAAAAAAAATTGTTATTCCTAATAAGCCTTTTATGTTCATCTTGATTCCCGTCAAACATTATTTGCATTACATTTGAAGTATTCAATTTAACTTCAATTTTTACATTTTGCATTGTATATTTAGTTATTTTCGTGTTTATTTAAGTTCATAGAAGTTATTTTAGGTTTATGTGGAGCTTGATTGTTTTAATCAATTGGTCGCTCAAAAAACTTTGTTTCGCCGATCAAGCTTGACAATGAGTTTGTCGTGAGGAGGGGGGGTGGGGGGTTGGGAAGGGTTATCTCCCATATATTGGGTTCAGTGATAAATGCCCCTGAAAAGAAATTTTTACTATACATGGTGCCTCACCGCCCAGAAAGCAGAGTCGACGTGCTCAGTACAAGTTTTAGAACCTGAAAGCATGACACTCCGGGAAAGCTCAATGCCCAAATGCAGTGCCCCAGCACCAAGACCAAAAACGCCACAATGCCCAATCTAGGTTTCAGAACTCAAGAGCTTCACATTGCAGAGCCTGATGGTCAGCACCCAATCATCTGTTGGAGTGCCGCTATCGTGGCATCCCGACGCCGATAACCAAATTCAAACAATTTTCACGTAAAGTCTTGACTTCGCTGTTGGAATAGTGCATGTTGAAGAATTGGATTTTGAGTTTTCTCTCGTGCGAAAGAAGTGAGTGCTTCAAAAGTTCCACAGAGATAAGAGGCTTGAGTGTGGTATAATTTGTCCAGTTCTTCTCATTTTCTTCATAGTGGAATTATTGGTGTGGTGTGACTCCTGATTTTTTCTCGTTCTCAAGTGTTTCAACGTTAAATCTGGTGTTTTTGTGCTTCTGGCTTCAAGGAAATTTTTTTTACTACACATGGTGCCTCAGCACCCAGAAGGCAGAGTTGACGTGCCCAGTACAAGTTTCAGAACCTGAAAGCATGACATTCCAACATTCGAAGAGGAACACCACAAGGCCCAAATGCAGTGCCTCAACACCAATGCCAACAACGCCATAATGCCCAATCCAGGTTTAAGAACTCGAGAGCTCCACATTGCAGAGCCCGATGGTCAGCACCCAATCGTCTGTTGGAGTGCCACTATCATGGCATGCTGATGCTGATAACCAAATTCAACCAATTTACACTTCAAGTTTTGGCTTCGCTACTGGAATAGTGCACGTTGAAGGATTTGATTTTGAGTTTTCTCTTGTGCGAAAGAAGTGAGTGCTTCAAGTGTTCCAAAGAGAGAAGTGGCTTGAGTGTGGTATAATTTGTTCAATACACGGGAATGGTTATCTCCCATGTATTGGGTTTAGCGATAAATGCCCCTGAAAAGAAATTTTACTATACATGGTGCCTCACCACCCAGAAGGCTGAGTCGACGTGCCCAGTACAAGTTTTAGAACCTGAAAGCATGACACTCCAGCAAGGCCCAATGCCCAAATGCAGTGCCCCAACACCAAGACCAAAAACGCCACAATGCCCAATCTAGGTTTCAGAACTCGAGAGCTCCACATTGCAGAGCCTGATGGTCAGCACCCAATCATCTATTGGAGTGCCGCTATCGTGGCACCCCGACGTCGATAACCAAATTCAAACAATTTTCACTTAAAGTCTTGACTTCGCTGTTGGAATAGTGCATGTTGAAGGATTGGATTTTGAGTTTTCTCTTGTGCGAAAGAAGTGAGTGATTCAAGTGTTCCACAGAGAGAAGAGGCTTGAGTGTGGTATAATTTGTCTAGTTCTTCTCATTTTCTTCATAGTGGAATTATTGGTGTGGTGTGACTCCTGATTTTTTCTCGTTCTCAAGTGTTTCAACGTTAAATCTGGTGTTTTTGTGCTTCTGGCTTCAAGGAAATTTTTTTTACTACACATGGTGCCTCAGCACCCAGAAGGCAGAGTTGACGTGCCCAGTACAAGTTTCAGAACCTGAAAGCATGACATTCCAACATTCGAAGAGGAGCACCGCAAGGCCCAAATGCAGTGCCTCAACACCAAGACCAACAACGCCACAATGCCCAATCCAGGCTTCAGAACTCGAGAGCTCCACATTGCAGAGCCCGATGGTCAGCGCCCAATCGTCTGTTGGAGTGCCACTATCGTGGCATGCTGATGTCGATAACCAAATTCAACCAATTTACACTTAAAGACTTCAAGTTTTGGCTTCGCTACTGGAATAGTGCACGTTGAAGGATTTGATTTTGAGTTTTCTCTTGTGCGAAAGAAGTGAGTGCTTCAAGTGTTCCAAAGAGAGAAGTGGCTTGAGTGTGGTATAATTTGTTCAGCTCTCCTCATTTTCTTCTTAGTGGATTTCTTGGCGTGGTGTGGCTTCTGATTTTTTCTTGTTCTCGAGTGTTTCCATGTTAAATCTGGTGTTTCTGTGTTTTCTTGTTTTGTATGCTTCAATTCCAAGTTTTTGCTTCAAATCTCTCAAATTGGTTTCAGTATCTCTCCCAAAAATAGCCTCCTCACATCATCTCCGTTTAAAGAGAAAGTTGTACCTACCAAGTATGTATGGTTGGTGTATATATGACAGTTGCAATCATATGACATCCTTCCCCTCAACTAGTCCTTCCTCTTGGCACCTCCCTCTTGTTCACACAATGCATTTCAACCTCGATTTGTGTACTAAGACGATCCTTGCTTGGTTTTGTTTTTTATGCTATTGATTGATATAGTCATGGCACGGACACACAAAGGTCAACAAATCCGACATTAAAAATTCATATTTTTTTACCAAACAATATAAATTATTTCACGTAAAATTATACTCCCATGTCATTTTGTCCATGCTGCCATGTAAAGACATACATTTAAAGTTCAATGATATCAGATAACAAAAAATTGATCTCAAACTCATATTTATGAAATTATCAAATTGATCTCAAACTGATATAACAGAAATGCTATGAAAATCATTAGGGGCATTTACATACATACCGTCAATTCATATGTATTTGCATATTTACATCTAAACTTTACTTTTTATATTTATAGTTTATACCGCCCAAAGCTTTCATACCACATGAAAATTACCAACATTTTAACTTTTAAAAGTTGAAATACACCTTTTCATGCGTAGGAATTGAGTGTTATGTGTAAATTGAGTGTTATGTGTAAATCTTCCTTCGTGTTAATAATTCAAATTGATTAACCAGACTTAACAATAAGTTGGACATTAACAATTAAGGCAAACAAATTCCGTGAGAATATTCCAGCACCCTCTGTATAAAAATAAGACTAATTTTATCATATGGGTTATTAATTTCAGGAATCACATATTATTCCTCAATATAGTTACACTACAGAACATTCGTAAACATAATTAAGATATGAGGTGATATCTCTAGAAAATTTTCATAACGCCTATAGGACTACATGGAATCTCTTGAAAAAAAAAGAATTTCTTAGTGCCTACATAGCAGAACACAAATATAACTAAATATTTGGAGATTCACAAAAACAAATTTAATAGAAAAATATATGAGAATCAACAGAATTGCATGAAATTATTGAAGAGTGGATAGCATTCACATGAATTCAAAAAAAAAAGTGAAATGAAACTGAGCTCATTCTAATATAAAATTCAGAAGATTTTTTTTTTTTTCTAACAATTAACATTCAGGCCATAAAAGCTAATCAGATTCAATAAATTCTGAGCACATCATAACCCTTTTAACATTTGAAGTATAAAGACAGGTACAAAAACTTAACCAAAAAAAAAAAAAAAAGAAGATCAAGGTCTGAGGCACTTACTCCATTTCCTCAAAAGATCTTCTATATCTGCGTCCATCCGAGTTCCTCTTCCTCCCCATACCAACATGTGAGCCAGATCCACCATTGACGAGCCATCCACCTCGTGCACCGCCCTGAAACCCATCCTTGTATAAAATCTTACAAGCTGAAACATATTACCAACAATGCACATAAGGTGTCCGACGAAATTCAAACCTCAAAAAAAAAAAAAAATTCAGTATTAGTAAAGTAATATAAAAGCATACTCTAGAGTGGAACTCTGGAGTATCATTAATGGCAAGGAGCTCGGCACCGCAGTCGAAGCCGTGACGAATGGCCACGGCGCCGACGAATAGGCCGAAGCCAAAGATAGAGCGTTTCATGGCGAGCGTCTCCCTCTTCATTCGTATGGAATCGAGGTGGAGAACCTTGCCCCCGAACCATGGATGGATGAAGCCCTCAGCTCTACCGAGCTCTGTTCCGGCGAGTCCTACGGCTGTTACGCGGAAGAATGGGCCGAGGGTTTGCAGGCGGAGACAGAGGCCTTGGGATCTGGAGGACTCGGAGATCTCCAGCATCGTCGGAAATGGGACGTTTGGTGGAGACGGAGTAGGAGGGATGGAGAGACTCAGGTGAAGTTGTGGGGGGAGCGCCATATTGAGAGCTTCTAAAGATCATCTCTTTGAGGTTTTCTTCATTATAGCAATTTTGATTATTTCGTGCAGGTTTCACATATATGAATTTTATTATATTTTAATTATAATGATATAACCAATACAATCAACATATAAAAAGATTCAGATGTACTCCACAGCTAATAATTGCAAAAATAACGTGTAGTAACGAATCTCGATGTATGACACAGATCTCAAGATAATTTTTTTAAAAAAAAATGATCAAATTTTGATAAAAAGTTATCGGAGTCCGATTTCAACAAACTTATAGTTAAACTGATCAGTTCGATAAGACAAACTCAATAATACTAAAGTTAGTCCAATTTATGTCAAATCAAGTCTCAATCAAGACACTAAATAGCTTTTGGAAGTTTTCCAAACCATTTGGGAGGTCAAATGGATGCCAAATTGAAGATCTTATAGTAGTACCGAGCGTCTAGACAAGATCAATCCAACAAGCCCAAGATAGCTCAATTCCTGCAATGTTAAAACACCTAGATTTTCATTAAACAACGTCTGATCGAGAGAAGTCCTCTGGGTCATTTGATGAAAGTGGTTCATATTCTTGCATTAATTAAATTCATAACTCTAAAAATAGAGCCCAACCTCTCTCATGAGGGGGAGGAGAGTTTTGAGGAAGAACTTAAAATTTTGATAAGTACCAGAAGTTCAATAACACTCTTGCCACTGTTGACAACCATTGACCGTTGTCAACCACCGACCATCGTCGATCACAACATGTTGCCCACCGCCGATCGCTATTGGTCGAAGCTCGTTCTTCAGAACAAGTTTATCCTCACGTCGACGTTATAACTTGTAAAATCTTGCAACTCATTTTCCGCCTGTTGGATAGGTAGTTGTTACTGTAATCATTATTTTACAATGTAGCTCTTTAGCTGAGTCAGGTCGTGTGGTTTTTCCGTTTACGGTTTCTTCACATAAAAACTTATGGTGTCACTAATAGTTGTTTACTTTCGCCTGAATGTGTATTGAATTCACGTGCAATACTAAGACAATAATTCATTTTTCTACTGCCACGAATCTTCTAGCACGCATCAATACTATTTTAAATTGTTTAATATTTTTATGAAGAAAGCAAATAAGGGATGAAACTAATTAATTTGAATTTGAGCCACGATTAATTTGAGCTTGAGCTTAATTAGTTAATCAAATTTGAGGTCAAACAGTTTATGAGTTTGAGTTGGTTTATGAAAAAGTTTATTTATTGTGAAAAAATAAAATAGTAATATTTATACAAAGAGTTGTATAATAAAATGATTAATAGAATGAATAATTATGAAATAAGTAACAAGAAATCATTGAAACAATTTGTTAAAATATTTTTAATAATTTAAAAAAATAATTTGAATTTTAAGACAAATTTGGCAAATTTTTGAATTTCTCTTGTAAAAAGGCTACTTGAATTGCTTGTGCACTTTAAACGATGTATCAAATCAAGTTTAATTCAACTAAAAAAATAAAAGAAACTAGAAAGTAAATTATCATAAGATCATAGAAAATAAGAAACTAACGAGAAAAATATTTGTAAGAAATAAAATTTATCCAACTCAAGATCAAAATCACATGATATTTTGATCTAAATTCTAAGAGTATTTGCAATGTATCACTCAAAAACAACGTTACTAAGAAAATTACAAACCCTAAATGTGATGAATCTTAGAGTATGTTTGCATAACTTTATACATTGTAAATATGTGATTTTTGTCTGAAAATATATATATCAAAATGCTAAAGCGATCATAAATTGTTCTATAAAGGATTCTCAACATATAAATAAAGTTGATGAAGGTTGTGACAACCCCATAATAGCCAATTGGGTTTGAAACATCCCACAAGCACACAATAAATTATTGCCCTTTGCTAGGTTGCAATGATTAGAAAGGGATGATCATCGGGATAGGATTACTTTTGCTAAGCGCTTGGCTAAGGTCCTAAAGATCTCGTCACACAAAGTTTTTTATTTTATTTGAGCTCATCTTTTTCAAATTTCCTCAATGTGAAAATGAATCATCGCACAAACATCAAAGATGTTAGATATATGTATTTTTCTTAAGAGGCGGGATATTAGCCAAGGTGGAGATTTGTTAGGCCTATGTATTTCTCCCAAGGGGCTGGATATTCGGCACTAGAATTTGAAGTCTCTTGAAAATGAAGAGGCGTGTCTCGCGAAATGAAGAGGAGTGTCTCTTGGAATTAAAGAGGTGTCTCTTGGAATTTAGTTGGTTGGGGGGAGCGATGGCGGGTTGATAAATTTATCTGTGGTTTTTTTATCTATATATATGATGTGTAACCCTATGGGTATGTAACTGGACTCCCCTGAAATAGTGAAATTCGTTGTTCTGCTCCCGATGATATTGGCATCTTTGTCAAACCTCGTTAAATCTCTGTGTTCTTCTGGATTTGTGTCAATTTTTGTTTTTTTTTTCACCCTAAATTTCTCAACAAAAGAGCATGCTCAAACTGTCAACAACCTTGTTGTACATATATCAAATGACCCAAATACAACTAATTGTCGTCAAGAGGCTTGTTGAGGTTCCAGCTAAATTGCTCATAATGCCGCCATACCTAGTCATCTTAATTATAGGTCGAATCATCCAATTTTGTAATTTTATGTTGAGAGATTGATGTATAAAAGTATTGTTTTGATATAAAGAAGAGGACTAAGTAATAGAAAGATGTTGATATATTAAATTTGAAAGGATGGGATATATAACGAGGATGGGGAGTTTATAGCTCCCATGTATTTCATCACTTAATGGGACTATTCTTTTGTTGATAGTGGACACAGACCAAAGTTGTTGAACCATTATGCCATGATATCTAGTGTCTTTTGTTGACCACTATATGATTCTTGACAATTTCTAACCAAATCAATCACTAAAGCCAATGTTGCGCTTCTTGATAATTCACTTTTCATTCTATATATATATATATATATAAAAGAAACATGCCATTAAATTTTACATGATGTCTAAAAATCCTACGATAACATTATTAAATGTCGGTCAATGTTTGATAATTTATCAGCTAATAATATAAAATGCTTCTTCCCTCTAAGTGGTTATCTCCTTTTATAAGAAAAAAATGACTTGGTAAAACATTTACCGCCATCCAACATCTATTGTTGACTGACATCATATATTTGTTAATTAACAACATTCGATACATTTATTTCTAATTATAAGATCCACCATCTTATAAGAAGAATGATAAAGATAATCACCCACCATCACTTATATCTTTAAGCTTCCACCATAAAAAAAAATAAAAAATAAAAAAAAAAAATTAATGTTTTTGTCCAATATATCGTTTTAATGCCTTATCCAATTTAGTGGAATTATATAAGCTGAAATTATAAAATGAAAATGATGATCTAGTAAGGATAATTGAGAAATAATGGTGGAAGGATGATAGTTGAAAGGAAATGATATAAAAATGATGGTAATGTGATATGATGAATAAGTAAGAGTTGTCTTGCAATGACAATTCAAAAATCATTATTTAGAGGTCATCATTAACCGATAATTGGTAGGAGATAGTAGTTGAACGATAATAATTAGATGATCACAACGGTCGACAACATCCATTGTCAAGCATAGACATATATGCTTCATTGATTTATTTTTTTTTCCCATTATTTTATTTTTTTATGAAGCATAAATGACAAATACAGATTAATTTTTATTTAAGAATTTTAATATTGGACGTAGAGTTGAACCAATAAAAATAGGAAAATGTTTTCAATATACTTAAATTTAATAATTCGCAAAAGTATACATATTTTACCGATTATTGTAGAACATATATAACCTATTAGTCACGTAATATCTTATTGTAATTAATTTGAAACAACGTGACTAATAGTATCATTTTTTTTTAATTATTCTGTTGCGTGAATTGAAGAGTTCAGCCGACGGAAGGACATCGCCACTTGCGCAAAATAATGTAAAAGCCAAGTCAGCTTTTTCTGCCGTTGATCGGTCTAAAATGGTAATGAGCATGCTTTATAATGTCCCGAGGAATATGCTCAAAAGGAAACGTTTAGAGGCCATTTGAGACTTTTCTTTGGGAATAATTATTATTAAAATTTTATTTATTTTATGTAAAAATATAATTTAGGATTTGTGAATGGATTGTTTGGCTTAAATTTCACATTAATTTCTAATTAGATTTAATAAAATAATTAAAATTAAGACCTAGCTTTTGCTGAAATCAAATTTATTTGTGAATCACATCTAAGGAATAAAGTGTAAATAAGAAAAGATAGAAAGAGACGCAAAAAAAAAAATAATGAAGAGTAATCAATCATGTCTTATTCAGAATATAGTTCTTGTATTTATTTATAGAGGAGATTTTACAATAATGATATTACATCATGTTTTAAAAAAGTCTGTATTAGAGTATTTTTGGTTTTCTACATGTATGAGTTTATCGTCTCATTGCTTTCTGACCCAACTGGCTAAACTTGGCTGACTTTGGGTCAGCAAGATCTGCTCGGTCGATTGAGCTAGGTAGACATGGGTTGATGGGATCTTCTCGGTCGGCTTAACTTAGTCGCGTGAGTCGATCAGTTGATCTAGTATGGTTGTCAAACATTAATCCCTGGTGAAGAGCCTCTAGAGCCTTCGTAGAATGGTCGGAGATACTGTGATATTAAATCTTCCCTTGAATTTGCCTTATTGGAGGGTAGATGATCGTGTTGGGCCGGCTTCCATGTAGTGATTGATTCAGATGCTCATTTTTCTCGTTTATGACTCAATTGTCTGTCCTTGGATCATCCAGTTGTCTTTTTGTCTTCCCTGTGGTTCAGTAGGTTTCAGCCTTGTCAGCTTGGCTAACATGAATTTACTCAGTCAATCAAGTAGACCTCGCGATCTCATGGCAGCGGAACATCCTTCATTATACTCCTCCCTTCCGTACAGTTAGATCTCTTAAGGTCAATCCTAACACATTTTTAATGTACAACTATTTAAATGTTTTCTTTTTATAAACACTTAATGAATCCTTATTTAGCCAAGGCCATTAAACTTTTCAATATAAAGCTTTCAAAATATTGGAATCAACTTCAAGTTTCAATATATAAATGACCAGCTCTATATAGTGTTAATATTAATAACAATAACAATAATTTCTAAAACAGAAAAAATAAGGGCTTTGAAAAATCCTGCTGCGCATGCACTTGCCTTCGGATTGGTTTTCAAAGACTGGATTTTTTCAACATCTCCATTAAAACGGCGTAACCTTGAAATTTATTTTATGGCCTGATTCAAGTTTGCTCCACATAATTACAAGTCAAATTATTATTGAAATTTCTTTAAATAATTCATTGACAGTAACTCAGCCTATGCATGATACTTAGGCATAAATATAGTTCAAGAGTAATTATGCGCCTCTCCAACCAATTCGCATTTAAAATAGATAGATATGATGCCTTTATTTCTTATGTCCATAATTGATGTGGGTTAATTAAGATAATATATATAGATAGGATGCCTTTATTTCTTATGTCTATAATTGATGTGATTTAATTATGACATTGATATATAAACATATAAATATATATATCATTATTATAGCCAATAATGAAACAAAATAAAAAAAAAATATTTTAAAAATTGACTTATTTTTATTTTCTGAAAGGCTGAATCATAATGATAATTTAAGTTAAAAATTAATAATTAATGTATTCTCTATCAAATTAGTGATTAGTGTCTACTTGCAACTGGGGCAACAAGTTAGAAAAAAAGACCTATACCAACTCCATATGCCAAAAAGTATTAATTTATTGGAGAGATGAAGTATGAAAAATTACTAATAAATCCATATAGCCCACAATTTTTTTTAAAAAAATCAACATTAACATCAGAAGTTTTGTTTGATGTCAACCACAACTATAAACAAAATATCAGCATTAACATCAGAGGTTTATTTTTCTAAATCAACTTATGATTTGTGTAGTAAAAGGTACAAAGTGAGAGAGATGTCCTATTTCATGTCAATTAGTTTTATGTGGGGGCAGTAACAAGTTGAGCGAAGCTTGAGCCGTGCTAAACTCGAGCTTGACTTCTGAGATATATGTTTGGCTTGAGCTTATAGCCTGAACTTGAGCTCTACTATCAGTTTGAAAACTCAATTTTGAAAATTTAAATAAAAATATATTAAATTTTTATGTAAAACTAAAAAAAATATTTAATATACTACAATGAGATTAATTAATGCATTAATTAATGTAATCGGGCTAAACCGACATCCTCTTGAGCCGAGTTTGATTAAGCTCGAGCTTGATTTCTTGGCTACATAAGCTCAACTCGCGTGCTCATTTAATAGTCGAGTTCGAGCTAGCTCGTGAGCTTGTTACGCTTACTTACTGTTGAGAGAAACTACTCCGAAAGAATTTCCTTCTAGTTTCAATGTGAAATAGGATCCTAAGATTCGAAAAAACCCGGAACAATAAATTTAAGCACAGAGAAATAATCAAAACAACCAAAAAAACATACGAGTATTTTACGTGGAAAAACCCGAGAACGAGAAAAAACCACGGAGCCACACTATCTTAAAATCACTATGAAAATCATATAATTTTATAAAGGACTCACACAAGTTTCTTCTTCACTCTCACACGAATAAACTTACAAGACACTCCACAATTTTTCTTCTCTGATCCGACGCGAACAATGCACCCCGAGATCATAGAAATCATCCTCTCTAACTCTTCTCTCATTCACTGGGAATTGGTTGAGGAATACCCGAGAAAGTCTCAAAAGATATGTCGTTCGAAATTGGCTTAAAACAAGAAATTTTGCGGACCGACGGCTCAGTGCGCAAAAGCACTCGTCTCTCGATAAACAAAATCATGCCCAATATAACTGGGAGCTTGGGCACCCAATGGGGGAGCAAATGCACCCCCTTTTAAGTCGATCATCCATAGAAGGCGCAAAGGCTCCCATAGGAGGCACAAAGGCGCCCCTTCAGAGAGTAAGAAGTGGTAAGCCTGTCCTAAGAAGTTATCCCCCTATAAAATACACTCACGTGCTTAAGTGAGTGTATTAGCATGAAAATGAAGAAAAGTGGGAGAAAGGCCTTCATATATTGCTCACTGAGAGAATACATAGGGCTAACGGCTGAGTTAAGATACAAGTCCATTTCCTAAATATAAATAAAATTATCAATAATATCATATGCATAAAATCAACATTAGAAAAATATTTTTCTAAATCTAGACAACCTCCAGCATCCACGTCAATAGCCATGTTAAGCAGAATCTCAACATCGATATCAACATCACGACTTTGGCTTCCGATCTACTCTCCAATGAGAACATCTACAAAACGTTAAAAGTCCAAAATGTATAGCTCCGCCATAATATTAAAATTATAAGGAAGGTCTAATAAAATTAAAACACAATTAATTCGCCTAATAAAACTTTACTATAATAAAAGAACAAAAGTAATAAGATTCCCCTATAATTTATTACTAAGATATTTTAAACAGTTAACAGTTCTTTTCATGACTTTTAAGGCTACCAAGTAAGAGAAAATATTATGTATAGATCATATGATCATCCCTATGTGTAAATTAGAGATGTACACATGGAGTGCGCCCCGAACAAGTACACCCCGAACACACCCGAACACACTTGAACCTCACGTATGGAGTACACCCCGAACACACTCGAAGTACACCTATTGGCACGTATGAATCATTTCCACATAATATTTTTTTTTTGACATATAGAGATACAAGAATTCGCATATCAACTTAATCAAAGATTATATCATCTAAAAGATGTATAAAATTTAACCAGCATCTAGAAAAAAAAAAATAATAGCCACAGCCGAATAATGATTCTTAGTTGTGCTGAACTTCAGACATTGAGATAAGAAAGCACACCCAAACTTATAATACATTACAAATCACCATGAACCAAACTGCCTGAAAGCTGAATCACTGCAGCTCAAAAAAGCAAAAAAATGGTAAATGGATGACAACGATTTGAGCCAAGTCCACAAACATCTTTCAGGCACAAACAAAAAACGACATTTTTACAGTGAAGTTTTCAAACCATAGCATACAGATCCGGAGCAAAGGAAAACCAGCGAAATCCGCAGCTCCATTTCTCCTGAAGCAGCGGGCATTTAGGGAGCCAGTGCCACGTCCCCCTTCCCAAATTGTAGAACAAGACCTCCGGCCACGTCGTGCAGCAAACACATAAGATCCCCTGGTGCCACAAACAGTACACATGAGAGTAATTATGATAGCACACGGACACGAACTTCCGGCACATCATCTCCGGCAACCTCCCCACCTCTTCCCACCGACAATGCTCCGTCCCCACCATCTCCCACACCTTCAAACTCCTCGATATTCCATCCCTTCCCACGCCACCAACGAGAAACAACCTCTTCCCTTCGTCGCTGCTCACCAGCCGGACGAACGCTAGCTCCGGCGGCAAATCGGGAGCCACCTCAGTTCCCCACTTTCCAGCGTTTAAATCGAATCCGACGACGGAGAACGGCTCCGGGGTGGTGAAATAGAGAAAATCGTTGAAAAAGACGGGATCTTGATGCGTATTGGTGAGAGCGAGCAGTGGTTCGAGAAGGGGAAAGCGTGTCCAAGAGCTGCAATCGGAGTTGTATAGAAAGAAGGAAGCGGATGAGGAGCTGGGGAGATAGATCTTGTAGCCGTGAGGGGATGGGGAAGGGTAGGAGATTAAGATTGCAGGGCAGGAAGATTTATTGGGAGAGGCGATGATCTTTGAGGACAGAGTGACGAGATTGTAGACAAGAAGAGAAGAAAAAGAAGAACAAGGATGCGAGATAGAGAAGCATAAGAGGCCGGAAGAAGATGAAAGGAGCTGGAAGGAGGAAGAAGTGGATATAGAGATGGGAAGCTTGCGCCATGAATCGACAGCAGAGTCGTAAAGTGGAAGGAAGCTGTGAGAAAATTGGGGGTGGGAGAGGAGGAAGTAAGCCGTGGGGCGCTGGCTGTTGGATTTGAGTTGAGAGATGAAGGAGGGAGAGAGGAGGAGGGAGCGGAAGCGTTTGCAGGTGGAGCGGAGGGAGAGGAGGGAGTGGAGGGGGAGAAGGGCGAGGATGCGATCGAGGAGGTCGTCTGGTAGCCGGCTCCAGATTGCCGGAGACATCTCCATGGCTGCCGTTGGTCTGGTTCTACCGTTCGTCCCCACCTCGCTATATCCTATGAGGCCACCTCGTTCCCTATGGAAAGGAGCCATGGATCAATCGTCAATGGCGGAAACAGGGAGAAGAAGAGGAGAGCTGTGCTACCGAAACTACAACCTTGAGCAAATTTATTTAGGCGCGGTCGACCAAGATTGATGATGGAATAAATAATGCATCAAGTAAAAGTAGTATGGGATTAGTTGTGTTAATTATCACTAATTTTAGAAAAAATATCTTGTTAATTAAAATGATGAAAGAATTGTTGTTTATTTATCAAAGATGTTATGGTATGGCTCATATATCATATCGGGACAGACGCTGGATCGAAGCGGAGCAGAGCGGAGCGGAAGAATCTGTCCAAATTGGGAAGTTACGTGGGT